TCCTCCAGAGACTTGCTGTTGTGCATAAACCTTCTACTCAGCCACCCCTAACCAACGCTCACAAGCAGAAATGGCTGCAGTGGGCCCAGAACTACATGAAGACTCATTTCCAAACAGTCTTTTTCACTGATGAGTGCAGTGCAACCCTGGATGGTCCAGATGGATGCAGTGGTGGATGGTTGGTGGACGGCCACCATGTCCCAACAAGGCTGCGTCGTCAGCAAGGAGGTGGTGGAGTCATGTTTTGAGCCGGAATCACGGGGAGAGAGCTGGTCGGCCTCTTTAGGGTCCCTGAAGGTGTGAAAATAACCTCTGCAAAGTATGTGGAGTTTCTGACTGATCACTTTCTTCCATGGTAGAAAGAGAAGAACTGTGCCTTCTGCAACACAACCATCTTTATGCAAGACAATGCACCATCTCATGCTACAAGGAATACCTCTGCATCATTGGCTGCTATCAGCGTAAAAGGAGAGGAACTCATGGTGTGGTCCCCATCCTGACTTCAATCCTACTGAGAACCTTTGGAGCATCCTCAAGCAAAAAAATATGAGGGTGGGAGGCAGTTCACATCCAAAGAGCAGCTCTGGGAGGCTTTTCTGACATCCTGCAAAGACATTCAAGTAGAAACTTTCCAAAAACTTCCACTGCTGCAAGAATTGTAAACCTGCTATCAAATAAGTGGTCCTATGTCAATATGTAACTTGACCTGTTAAGATGTTTTTGATTGAAATAGCTTTTGATTTCAATGAAATTGATCTACTAATGCTGCAAATTCAACAAATGACCATTTTCAATTCTCTACAACCCATAAAATCTTTTGAAACTCTGTGTGTGTAATAATTTGGAACAGTGCATTTTAAGTGTTTTATTTTAGAAAAACATACTGTTTTCATTGGGAGTTTTGTTCAGTAACATTTGAATTATACTCTATTGGTCGATGACTCGAAAATTATGCCGACTGTCACTTGAAACGACTATTTAGGAAAAACAGAAAATATCATTTGCATAATAATTTGGAACGTGCTGGTTACACTTAAGAACAGTAAGGTCAGATTAGACTTAGCTAGAAAACAACTCAAAGAGCATGTTTCTGGAAAAAACAACAACAGTTTCTCTGAGATTAACTAGCGGAGAAGCAGCTCATGATCGGAGGCATACCAGATTGTCACATGTACTTTATCACCATGTCAGTTGTTAGGATACCATGATGACAGCTGCTGAAGTGATCCTGGCGTTTGCTAAATTATCCTTGAATGGTTGGCTGTTGATGAACAGGTACTCATGTGTCAGCAGCAGTTGAAAGGGAAATAACTGTGGTTTATAAGGAATAATGATGTAGAATTTAAGAAGTGTAGAGTAACACGTAAAATTAGAGCGCAGTTGTCAGGAATTGATTCAGAGATCGTCCATCACAGTAGGGGGCTATTATTTCAGAATTATGGCTCTGCAAGATACTGTGTTGAACAGAGGATTTTTGCATTATATGGTAACATGGTAACTGTACACTTGTGTGGTTGGTTGTAGTCCAGGCTCTAACTGCCCCCTCATTATAATAATCCTTCCGTAACATGGGGATTTTTCTCTCTCTCTCCAGCTGTTGACTGCTGGAATTGGCACCACTTTTAGACTGTGTGTGACGCTTCTGTTGTTGTAACAAAATCAGTGACAATCACTACTGAGATCTGAGTGCTGAGGAACTGATCTAGACCAAACAAATCTGTGTTCTTTGTTTGTTTGTTTTCTTTATCAACGAAACTATCCAAGCTCTCACATGCGAGGCAAGGCAATGGGAAAATGCTTTTTTCAAAATTTCTAATTTACCTATTTTTTCCTGCCAAGTTCTATCTATCTATCTATCTATCTATCTATCTATCTATCTATCTATCTATCTATCTATCTATCTATCTATCTATCTATCTATCTATCTATCTATCTAT